GTGTCAGAGTGGGATCACAAGAAGGAAGTAATGGGAATGAGGGCTTTCAAAACTACACCCAAAAGACAGAGAAGAAGGTTTCCAGGCACAACTACAAAAGTAGGTCAAGAGAGTTCTTGTGAAATATTGTGTTGCATCATATAAATGGAATGACACAATATGTGGCCTTTTGTGTCTGTGTCTAGCTTATTTTTTACTTAGCAAAAAGTCCTCAGGTTTACCCACATTGTAGCATGTGTCAGAATTTCCTTCCTTTTTATGGCCAAAGAATGTTCCAATGTTTATATTGACCACATTTTGTTTCTCTATTTGTCTGGTTTTGGACATTTGGGCTATTTCTACCTTCCTCTAGTGTGACTCATGCTGCTATGAACACAAGTTTATAAGTGTTTGTGTGAGCACCTGATTTTAATTCTTTTGAGTGTATACCCAGGAGTGGAATTGCTAAGTTATATGGTAATTATATTTAACTCATTGAAGAATCCACAAAATACCTCTTCCCCCCATTTTTAATTGGGAACACTGGTTCGTTAGTCAGCTTCCTGTTACTATAAGCAAATGTCTGATGCTGTGCCCCAGGTGCCAAAGATAAAGAGGGAAGTGCCAAGCACTTTTGCTGAGATTCCCATGGGAATGGGCAGTGGTGCCCCAGGTACTTCAACTTGCTTTGTTCCCAGGCCTGTTCCCAGGAGCAAACAGCTCAGTCCTCTACCCTCCCCCAAGGCTAACCCACACTTCCCTGGCTAGGTGAACCTTCTCAATGAGCTCCGTTGCCACTCAGCCCTAAAAATAAAAAATAAAACAAAATAAACCCTGCCTCCCACACTACTGCCTAGCTTCAATGGATGGATGCTGGGACCACTAGGGATGTTGCTGCTCTGTGTTATAGTGTGTCTCTCATCAGCATGGTGGGATGAGGCTCTGAGCCTATCCCAGACACCAAGCCAGTGCCAGAGAAGGTGTGCCCTGTGTGCTTAGAGATGTGGCACTGCTCCCAGGCTGGGACATATCCCAGAGAAAGAACTCTGGAATCTTGCTGTCTGTAACTCTGTCACTGTGACTAGCAACCAGGTTATCCCAGTCAAAGGTGGCTGCTTACATGGGGTGTGGGGGAAGGGAATGCAGCTGTACAAGAGAGATGGGCTTGGGTCTACATTGCTGTCCTCTCTATGTTCCAGAGTTACCCAAGTCTCTACCACCATGACCCCATTTGGGGTTATAAAAGTCCAAAAGATGGAAAAGAGCAGGCCCTGGCCTCAGCCATAGCAGGTTCCTCCAGCCCTAGACCCAAGATCAGGTCCCTCCCTCTCTGCCTTGTCTTTGTTACCAATTATAGACTGTTTTGTTCCTACCACTCACAGATTTCTCTACACTGACTTTTGGAGAGGTGCTGGTCACTTGGGGCTGGAACTCCCAATATATTACATGCACAGAATTTTTGTCTGTGGAGACAATTAAGTTATGCAAATTCAATGACAAGTATTTAATGTCAATTTACTATAAGGTATTTTATATAGGCACCTCCCTTCAGTTTCTACCATCCAGACACACCAGTGTGAGGCAGATTTAGTTTTGTCTAGATTGCTCTGACTTCTAAGATTTTAAGATATCTTTGATACTTTTTAGAGGAAAAAGTTTCCCATACAAAAATGAAATGCCTTAGATAATGGATTTATGAAAGAAAGGGGTTTTTGGCTCTCAGATTTGGATAGAGTAAAACCATGCACCTGGTCACATGGAAGCAAAGAAAAAAAATAAAAGGAAGAACCTAAGAATCCCACTGTCTCCTCTGAGAGCACACCCCAATGACCTAAAAACCTCCTACTAAATCCCACTTCTTAAAGGTCCCATCATCTCCCAATGCCACCTGCCCCTAGGACTGAGCCTCCAACACTTGGGCCTTTGAGGTGTGGGAGGGAGGGTATCATTTACAATAAAAACACTTCAGTAGCACTGTGCAGTATACACATGGGCAGAAAGAACAGTCTACTGAATCTCAGGTATCTTGTCTCCTAGGTTTAGTAGCAGCCACCAATCTTGCCTTATTTGTTTCATTCTTTCTAGTGTTTGGTTTCAGAAATGTTTTAAAGTAAGTTGCTTTGCTAATTCTTCTTCAAATGATTCCACATGCATTCCTAAAGTAGATACTTTCTTCTATGACCTAGTGTCGTTATCTACCCAACGCATGAGCACTAACAATCCCCGACTAGCTTCTGATGGTCCACTACATAGCTATGGCTCTTCCATCATCCCTAGTGCCTTTGATGACTCTTTAATTTGTGCCATCATCTTACCTTTGTTTAGCTTGAGTGCTTGGCTCCTTAAATCTCTTTGCACTTAGAAGGGTCTTCCTCTCCAGCCTCCTTTTTACCCCTGACACTGACTTTCGAGGAAAGTGCCCTGGGGTCCTCTGAATATTGGACATCAAGTACAATGGCCATATTAGGATGCAGTCAAATGGCTTAGGCAGGAGTCCTCCGCCTCTGCATTCCAGCAGCAGGTCTGTTGCTGCTGCACAGTAATGTTGGATTTCTCTCTTAAGAGCAGCAACCACTGGATGACATTTGATGTTTGATATATCAGTCTCTTACAGTTTTCACCTAATACTTCCAGCATAGCTTCCACCTTTAGAGCTCCTTTTGCTGATTAATATAAATGTCTTCAGAAATAGGACTTTCATTTTTGGCTGATGTTGATTGACAGTTTATCAGAGATGGAAAGGGATTTGGGGCCAATTTAAATGTCAGTTGAATACCATGGCTGTCTTTGTGCTCCTGGGAATCGGTCCCCTCTTCCACTCCTGTGGCACAAACTACATCTACCCATAAAAGTTCTCTTTACCCACTCCTCCTACTAGCTACTGCCCAGTTTCTATACTCTTCTGTCCAAGACCTTCATATTGATCATTTCAAGTTAAATAGAAATAACTTTTTAAAAACTTTTTTTGGGGAGGTCCGGTCATGGGGCCTGAACTCTGGGCCTGGGCGCTGTCCCTCAGCTCTTCAGCTCAAGGCTAGTTCTCTACCACTTGAGCCACAGCACCACTTCCGATTTTTTTCTTTTTGCTTATGTGGTGCTGAGGAATCGAACCCAGGGCCTCATACATGCAAGGCAAGCGCTCTACCACTGAGCCACCTTCCCAGCCCAAAACTTTTGTTATTATAAAGGTGATGTACAAAGGAGTTACATTTGCTTAAATATGATAAAGAGAACATTTTTGAGCCAGGTACTGGTGGCTCCCACCTGTAGTCCAACTACTTAGGAGACTGAGATCTGAGGATCATGGTTCAAAGCCAGGCTAAGCATGAAAAACTGTGAGACTCTTATCTCCAATTAAGCACCAGAAAACTAGAAGTAGAGCTCAAAGTGGTAGAGTGCTAGACTTGAGTGAAAAAGCTCAGGGACAGCACTCAGGCCCTGAGCTCAAGCCCCATGACTGACAAAAAAGGAAAAAAGAAATAACATTTTGGGGGTGAATGTTCTTTTACATTGTTTTCTAGCATTGGGAAGTGATGTAGAGAAATCTGAAGCCAATGTGATTTGTGTTCACTTTGTCAGTTCCACACTTTTCTCTGCCCGACTCCCTGACTTACTTGGATTCCTTATCTTTGCTCATTCTCTCAGTTCTCAGCAGCATGCACATAAGCTTGGGCCTGCTGAGGGCTAGGAGACGTATCCTTAGCCCACTACTGTCTTTTTCCACTTGCAACCTTTAGCTTTCAGCCTGGAATTACTCCTTCAGAGAGCCTCTTCCTGCTCCCCTGAGTTTCCCCTTCACGTACTTCTCTTTCTGTTCACTACAAGTCTCAATTTTCAGATGAAGATTCTACCTTGCTTGTGGAGTTTTCTGTATGAACTCAGAACCAAGGGGAAAAAGAATCAACAATGGAGCTTCTGAGGATGTTGGAATCAGAGATGCTTGGCAGAATGGAAAGAGAGTGGAGAAAAGAAGGAAACAAGGGGAAAAGAATAGGTGGTCAAGCTGGCCCCCAGCATAAGAAGTGGGCATAAGATCCCTGGCTCAAGACTCACTGAATGAGAGAGATGAGCCACTAGAATCCCAGATTGGGAATATTTTGGGAACTGTACTGTGCCCCCCCTCGTCCCAATCTACCTGTGAAGGTTCCCTTATTTGGAAATAGGGTCTTTGAAGATGTCATCAAGGCAAGATGGGATGATACTGAAGTAGGGCAGGCCCTAATCTCATTACTGGTGACCTTACCAGATAAAGGATTGTTGGAAGCAGACACACCAAAGAAAGATAGGCATGGGAAGATGCAAGCAGAGGATGCAGTGATGCATCTGCAAACCAAGGAGTACTCATGGCCACCAGAAGTTGGAAGAGGTGAGGAGGGAGTCTTCAGAGGGAGGGAGGCTGACTCTGCCAGCACCTATAGCTCAGGCTTCTGCCCTCCAGAACTGGTAGATAAGATATATTGCAGTTTACATGCATGCGTGCATGTGCACGTGTGCACGCGTGTGCACACACACACACACACACACACACACAGTGTATGTTACAGCATCCCTAGGAATGTATGCCAAAGTTGTGATGGTCAAAAGCCTCAGTGCCTCTTGCTGCAAGCAGTGGTCATAGGCAGTGGGGTGTCAGGGCATTGAGTCCACTGACCTCTCAAGAAAAGGCCACTCCCTCTTGCCCTGTTTCCTGTCGCTCTCACATACACCACAGCCCAGCCTTGCTTGGCACCATCTGATTAGAAAAAGTTGGTTTTTCAGCACCACTTCCAGTTTTTCTAGTGATTTGTTGGAGATAAGAGTCTCACAGACTTTCCTGCCCAGGCTGGCTTTGGACCGTGATCCTCAGATCTCAGCCTCCTGAGTAGCTAGGGTGACAGGCATGAGCCAATGGCACCCGGCTAAGAAAAAGTTTTGAAACTTGGCTTCTTGGTATCCAGTAGCCACTCCAGGCTGGCCTGGTCTTACCTGGACCCTTTATATTTCCCGTAGCCTCTTGACGGTGACGTAGCAGGACCCTGGCAATGGCAGCCAGTCTCCTGAGAGAAAGATCCAAGGTGAGTGAGTGTTCCTCCCTCAAAGCCTCAATATCTCCCTTTAGCAGGCTCTCTTGTCCCTCCCCACAGACCTGGGACTCTCCAACCTGGGGGAGAGCTCCAAGTCAATATGCCCCTTTCCTGGCTTCCGCATGCTGGCTATACAACTTCCATCAGCTGCTCTTCTCAGAGAGTGCTGCTTGTGACTGAGACTATGAAGTTACCCAACTATCCCAAATCAGGGACACTCCCATATTATATTGATGCTAGCTTACCCTGGAACCCAGGAACTTGAATTCCCAACAGGAACAGAATTGCTTATTACAGGTGCCAGTATCTTTTGAGGATGTGTCTGTGTACTTCACCAAGACAGAATGGAAGCTTCTGGACCTTAAACAAAGGATCTTGTACAAGCAGGTGATGCTGGAGAACTATAGCCACTTTGTATCACTGGGTAAGTGACCTTGCCCCCCCCCATGCACTCATTCCCACCACTCCATATACATTCTGTTTATTTCTGAAATTTCTTGTTTGTTGGTTACTATGAGTGCAAAAGCAAATGCATTTCTCCATTAGACCACTAATCTGTTGTGGGTTACCTATGGCCTCAGTAGGACTTTATAATTAAATCATTTGGACCTGAAAAGATATTCAGTAAACATATGAGCAAGTGAATTTCAATAATCTATCATGAGGCTAATTTGGTAGCTCAGTGTGTCATCTGCTGTAGCAGAGCTCAGGCTTCCCAGGCACCTTTCCAGGCACTACTGAGAGTGGCTAATACATAGACGTTTTTCCCCCAACACACTTCACTGCCTTAGGGCTGGAGGGGGTATTTGAGACAGAGCCTCCTTTCCACTCTTCAGACTTAACCTCTATAATTTTTACCCCATCGGAGAGACTAGCTACTTTCCCTCGGTTTTTTCTAACCTTTACCAGACAGGGGATGTCTCTTTCCAGGAAGACTTCTAGTTTCCTTGGTTGAACTTGGTGGTAAACCAGTATTTCCATTTTCTTTGTTGTTGTTGTTTTTGTTGTTGCGAGACAGGGACTCAAACTTAGTACCTGACACATTGCTCATTTGCTGGTGTGCTACTGAGCCCTGCCTCCAACCTCTACAAAGATAATGGTTATTTCTTTTTCTTTTTACACCTTTTTATCTTGCATCCATCCTTGGCTTGAACTCAGGGCCTGGATGCTGTCTCTGAGATTTTGTGCTCAAGTCTACGGCTCTACCACTTGAACCACAGCTCCATTTCCAATGTTTCCATTTTCTTTCTCTTTATTTTTCTGTTGGCTGTGGGGCTTGAACTCTGGGCCTGTTCACTGTCCCTGAGCTGTTTTGCTCAAGGCTAGGGCTCTACCACTTGAGCCACAGGTCCACTTCCAGGTTTATATTTTCTTTTTCTTGTTTTTTTTTTTGTCAGCCATGGGGCTTGAACTCAGAGCCTGGGCTCTGTCCCTGGGCTCTTTTGCTCAAGGCAAGTGCCCTAACACTCTGAGCCACAGCTCCATTTCTGGTTTTCTGGCGGTTCATTGGAGATAAGAGTCTAATAGACTTTCCTTCCCAGGCTGGCTTTGGAACTCGATCCTTGGATCCCAGCTTCCCGAATAGCTAGGATTACATACAGGTGTGAGCCATCTATGCCCGGCTCAGTGTTTCCATTTTCAAAGTGCATCACTGTACTTTGAACTAGACCCACCCAGTGACACTATGTTAGCTGAAGATACTAAAGCTGGGCTGCCTTCAGGAATGACTCTGCTGCTAGAGTGGTGCTGATCTGCTTCATTTCCATGAACAGGACTTGCCTTTCCCAAGCCTTGCCTGGTGGCCTATCTGGAGCAAGGGGAGGGGGCCTGGGTACCAGCCCTCCACAGAGAAGGAGCAGCGGAATCACAGGCAGGTGAGTGAGAACCTCTCAGCTTGCTTGCCTGAATCAAGGGGAAAGAAAGAGTAGAGTCCACAGAAGGATGGTGTAGGCTGGAACATACTGGAAGGGATATTTTTCTTTAGTGGCACCCATCCGTTTGCCCTGGTGCCTGCTGGAAGAATGGAGTTCCTCTGGGCTGCTGTGTAATGCCAGCACCTCCTTCTTTGTCTTTTGCTCTCCTATCTGAGGGAGGAAAACTTTTCTGTTTTGGGGTCATCTTGCTCCTCCCGCCACATTCCCTTGTTTAATAATGGAGCTCCAAGGAGTGATGGCACTGCTTGGTGTTCTTTTTTCTTTTCATTTTTTTGTGAACATACTGTACAGAGGGGTTACAATTACATGGGCAAGATAATGAGTACATTTCTTATCAAGCATTGTAGCCTCCTCCTTTGTTTCCCTTGCTTGGTGTTCTTTGTCTTTGCAGGCGATGGGGTCCAGAAAAAGACGTCGGTTTCAAAGCCCAGACATTGTGCACAAGGAGTGCCAGGAAGCCAGGAGGCGAGGTCGCCAGACAGATCGGGATCATTGTCCCCGAGAAGTCTCCTTGAGTCCCTGAAGAACCCTGCTCTACAGCGCCTCAAGTGCGCGGAGAAGCGATACCTGTGTCAGCAGTGCGGGAAGTCGTTCAGCCGCAGCTCCAACCTGATCAAACACCGCATCATCCACAGCGGTGAGAAGCCCTACGCCTGCCGCCAGTGCGGGAAGCTGTTCCGGCGCAGCTTCGCGCTGCTGGAGCACCAGCGCATCCACAGCGGCGAGAAACCCTTCGCGTGCAGCGAGTGTGGCAAGACGTTCACGCGCAGCTCCAACCTCATCAAGCACCAGGTCATCCACAGCGGCGAGAAGCCGTTCGCGTGCCACGAGTGTGGGAAGCTGTTCCGACGCAGCTTCGCACTGCTGGAGCATGCGCGCATTCACAGCGGCGAGCGGCCGTACGCGTGCAGCGTGTGCGCCAAGGCTTTCAGCCGCAGCTCCAACCTCATCGAGCACCAGCGCACCCACAGCGGCCGGAAGCCTTACACCTGCCCCGAGTGCGGCAAGGCCTTCAAGGGCATCTCGCAGCTCATCCATCACCAGCGCAGCCACAGTGGCGAGAGGCCTTTCTCGTGCCAGGAGTGCGGCAAAGCCTTCCGCGGCCGCTCAGGCCTCAGCCAGCACCGGCGGGTGCACAGCGGCGAGAAGCCCTATGAGTGCAGCGAGTGCGGCAAGGCGTTCGGCCGCCGGGCCAACCTCTTCAAGCACCAGGCGGTGCATGGCACCCTGCAGCCCTCGGAGCGCCGGGGCCGCGGGAAGGGGAGCCGACACGGCTGCATGCTCCTGGAGCCCCGGCGGGGACCCCACGGGCCACGGCTCAAGGAAGGCAGCCCGAGCTGCGGCAGCCAGAAGCCCCATGCCTGTGAGCACTGCAGCCAGACCTTCGAGAACAAATGGAAGCTGCGGCGTCACCTGCGCAGCCACCGCGGCGACAAGCCCCAGGCAGGCGGCCAGCGGGCCACGGCAGTGGAGGAGAAATCACCCCTCACCCGCCATCTGAAAGCTCAACCCGTCGAAGGAAGCCATGACAGCCACAGTGCCAACGTCCTGTACCCTGACAAGACCCAGAGCAGAGCCTGGCCCTGACATTGGGAAACATGGCAGCGACTCCCACCTGGAAGGTCCGCCCTTCCCCATTGCAATCTGCCCCAGCCCTTCCCTGGTGGGTTGGAAACACACCTCCCTAGTCCGTGATGGTGCAGTCGAGGCACAGCGACTGCCTCTGGAAGGCCCACCCTGCCAGGGCCCGGGGCTGGCACTCGTGCCAGGTACACACATGTGGGCATGGATGAGCAGAGCGGCCAGGTGAGCAGAGCTCTGCATTAAAGGAAATGAATTGTTCTCTCCCATCCACGTGGACGGCAATGGTCTTCTGCAGTAGTGTAGGGTAGTGTACAGCCAGTAGTGTAGAGCAGTAGTGTAGAGCCAGCTGTAGCCTCCGCTAAGTTGCTGAGTTCCCAGTAGGATGGCCTGTGTCCTCTCTCTCCCTTTTCCTTAAAAAATAGTTCGTGTTTGACAGTAAGAAATACCAAAAGCACTTTAATCCATTAAGAGCTTATAAATGAAGGGTGCTCTGAAGTTTACCTGTTGGTGCATGGCAAAGCCCAGGGCACCCTGTTGGCCTAGTAGCACAGAGGAAAAGCCCTGTGTGCATGGGGTTAGAGTGAAACATGGGCACCTTCTCGTGCTTCTTGGAGGAGCTACATCCAGCTCCATTGTCTGTGAGCACAGGCTTCTAGGAAATCACTAGCCTAGGTCCTGCAGAAAGGATAAGACTCAGGGACCCTGAGCACGTGCTTTTTGCAGGAGGAGCCTTTTCCTTCTTGTCCCTCATAGGAACATAGTCTGGATGAGACATAGCAACATTTGCAGCTCTGCCACCCTGCTGGCTTCACTCCTTCTCTCTGTCTGAGCACGACAAAGCCATAGTGGCCTCCTTAACCCCTCCTCTACTCTTTCCTCTCAAACTTACCCGCTCCTTCCCTTCAGGGATCCCCTATCTTATGATAGTGATTATTAGGAGGAAGGAAAATCCGGGGAGGTAGAAATTTGCACTTAGGTGGGCCCTGAATTGCATCTGGGCAACATAGGGACGCTGTCTTTCACATGATATTTCTTGGAATTTTAGAAGTGTATTGCTTTAATGTTTTTGTATTCAGGGCTAATGTAAGTCAGTAGTGGAAAGTTTTGCCATAGGAGTGTGTCACGGACTCACACTTTAAGAATCCTTCAGGCTGGATGTAGCTCAGTGGCAGAGTGCTTGCCACTGACAAAGCCCTTGGTGACATCTCCAGCATCACAAAACACCTGCATCTTCCCCAACCCTCTGAGAAGACCTGAAGCAGAGAGAAAGAGGCCTTCCCAGGTCCACATGGAGAGGTGGGCAACTTTCATCTCTTCTTGTCATGAAGCGATCCTCTCCTCTCTGCCTCAGCCTCGCACAGATAGGGTGGACCCTTCAAATAGCACTTTACTGAAAGCCATGGGGATTTCTCAAGAGGAAGCTGGTGGCCACCAGAGGAAACTGCTAGCTGGCACTGACCTATTCCCTGTATACTATCCCCAGAGACCTGGGAGTTCTGCTTCTTGGTGTTCTCCACTGAGTATCCTGGTCAGCTGGCCACCTTCCAACCCTTTCTACTCCAGGAGAGAGTGGGGTTTATCATAGAGGCCACCTTAAGGGCAGGGGGTGTGGTGAAGGACATGGAGATATATGCTTCATGTCCCCATGGAGACACAGAGCTGCTCCTTCCTTGTACCTGAGATGGTCAAAAGCTGCTTCCTGCCAGGAGAGTGCACAGGAAGACCTGGAAACCCAGGATTCCTCCTGAGGATATTGTCTGAATTGCTCCAAAAATTGTTATAAATACACATATACAGAAGTTTTATATAGGGAAACATTTTTATGGAAAGTGCCAGAATTCTTATGACTTGCTCTTGTCTCTGCTTCCTGCAGTAGAGTTCTGAAGGCTTGTCCTGTATTTATCTTCTTGTCTGTATAAGTCTGTCCCAGAAGCTCACTGATGTTTGTCACATTGGCCATATATCTCTCTGCTAAGCCCCATGCTGCTGGTACTGCCAAGCGCATGTGAAGTGAGCACAGCTGTCTTACTAAGCTCATGTAGTTGTTTCCAACTTTGTGTGAAGGTAGTCCAAACTGTCTGCAACTTTGGTGTTTCCACTAGGAAAAGAAATAATAAGAATGGTGTCTTTGACACCATTGGTGAAGCAATTGGACGGATTGGGTTTTTTCTGAGACTCAGTCTCTTCTAGGGCTGACACAGATACAGGAAACCAGTCCCCACCTAGGTAAGTGCCTGCAGTAGGAGGTGCTGTGTGTGGCGAGCACTCACTTGAACACTAATGTGCCTTTCTAGCACACTGAGAACTGAATGATTCAGTTTCTACAGGATACCCAGTCACCAGCTTCTATGGAGGAAGAGTTGGCTCTCACAAGTATAATGACACTCTACTGGTCTTCACATGAAAGCTAACTCTATTTTCAACATAAGCATCTTCTTTCACTTTGATCCTATACTCAAGGATGATTCGCTACAGGAAGGATGGGTTCTATGCAGGCATTTTTAGAAGAACATGAATCTGTCCAGAGAATCATGTCAGAGTACCCTGAAAAACTCCAGGGTACCCATTGCTTGCCTGGATAATGACAATACAGATCTTTCTTTGTTGAAACTCTATTTAATAGCTCCTGTTAATTTAGTTTTCATTGCCAGGTGATTAGAAGTACGCATTTCTTTCAGGGATGATTATCAGGTATAAAACATGAACTGGGGGCTGGGAAGGTAGCTCAGTGGTAGAGCGCTTGCCTTCCATGCTCGAGGGCCTGGGTTCGATTCCTCAACCCCACATAAGAAAAAACAAAAAAACCGGAAGTGGTACTGTGGCTCAAGTGGTAGAGTTCTAGCCTTGAGCTGAAGAGCTGAGGGACAGCGCCCAGGCCCAGAGTTCAGGCCCCACGACCGGACCAAAAAAACAAACAAACAAACAAACATGAACTGAACGGGTTTTGCATGGAATAAAAGCCAGCGTTTGTAGAAGGGACACTTGAAATTTCCTCCTATGGTGCCTGGAAGTTGGGCTTCATCCCTCCTGCTGCTTGGGGGGTAGGGGGCAGGGATGATTTTCAAACGTGCTTTTTGAGAGATGACTGAATTGTGAAAGATTAAACTATATTTTTTAATGTCCTGCTGCTTTTCAGGTCTTCCTTTATCCTTTACTCCATTGCAGTGCGTGTGCTCACACACACACACACACACACACACCAAGAATTCCCTAGATGATCATTTGGGTCTCCTTTGCCTTTTGAGCATTTGCCCTTCTGCAGCTTTGTGTACTTTTCAAAAGCTGTGTAAATCCCAAGGCAGTATTTCCATGGGGCCTGGAAGTCACTGTAAGATGGAATTGTTCCCATTTCTTTTAGTTGCAAATAAGGACAGTCTACCGTGAAAGGAGCCCCCTAGTGAAAAGAGGCTGTTCTGATAGTTTCAACTAAATGAATAGGTAGTTGGGTTAGAAATCACAGGAGAGATATCAGTATAAAACTGGGAAACCCCCAAAGCCACTACTTGGGTGTTTCTTTGGGCCCCTGCCTCCAAGGTAATTCCTTACTCTGTCCAGGGTACAGAATCCTCTGACCAGGATCATGGACAGCCAACCAAGGCTGGATAAACACTGTGACTGAGAGCAGAAAGGAAGAGTTGGCCTGTCTGTCCCTTAACAAGTCTCCCATCAGTTTTGTGAGAAATTCCACCCTTCGGGCTGGGAAGGTGGCTCAGTGGTGGAGCGCTTGCCTTGCATGCCTGAGGCCCTGAGTTCGATTCCTCAGCACCACATAAGCAAAAAACAAAAAAGCCAGAAGTGGCGCTGTGGCTCAAGTGGTAGAGCGCTAGCCTTGAGCTGAAGAGCTGAGGGACAGTGCCCAGGCCCAGAGTTCAGGCCCCACGACCGGACCCCCCCCTCAAAAAAAAGAAAAAAGAAATTCCACCCTTCAGCCAACAGGGCAACATCCCTACTCATCACAGTGAGTGCAGAGCACAGCTCTCCACACAGGAAGTGGACGTAGAGGGACTTGTGATGAAGGGGGTGCTTAGAAATCTTGAGTTGGGACAGCTGGGAGCGGTTGGGAGGAGAGGGGATGATGTGTTGGGGAGACACAAAAAGGGCAGGGTGGGGGAGTTCTCACACAATTCTGATTTAAAAGGTCAATTAAAGCCAGAATAGGGGAGAACTTGGTATGCTATATACAAAAGTTTGGACAAGCTGGTTCCAGATGATCAATTTTCCAGAACATGAGAGACTAATTCTGTAATTCAGGAAGGAAGGTTGACATAAATTAGAGCTACTATAGTATTTGAATTGATTCTTTGACAACTATGATAGCTATGATGTGTGAGAAGGTGACCTTGTGGGTCCACAGGGCCAGTATCTACTGCTTATGATGTCCTTCCCTGAGAGGGGAGTGTAAGAAGGTCCCAACATATTCCTCAGAAGTTCCTACTTGCTATGGTCTATATAGTTATTTCTATCTTTTGTTAGTCCAATAGCTATATGGATCCTCTGGGATTCGTGGACATCTACTCTGAAAATCCTTTTGTGTACCTGTCTGGCGTTTTATAGACAGTATCTCCCTATGTAGCCCAGGATGGCCTTAAGCATACTATGTAGCCCAAGCTGAAACTCATGATCCTTCTGCCTCAGCCTTCCAAGTGCTGGGATGACCAATATGTACCACCATGACTGACTTCTCTGGATTCTTGTGTTTTTATATTGGAAATAGTTTCAAATTCAAGGTCCTGGCCATTCACAAGGAGCACAGTGCCTCTTTTCATGTCCAAGAGGCCTAAATCTGGTCCTTCTCTGCCATTTGAGAACATTGAAGCTAGAAATAAGGGCCTACTGCACTTTTGGACATCTTGGGTTTGGATTTTTTTAGCTATCTCTGGCAGATTTATGGCATAGAGTAGTCGATACAACTTCATACAAATTGGATGAGTTTTGACATGTGTCTACACCTATGAAAACATTCCCACTACCAAGACAGAACATCTCCAACCAAAGTGCAGCCT